TCTCTGTGCATACAGATGCTAACTACATTCTACATTCTTGACTAGATGCATTAGACTCATTAGCTGTATTTTTAAAAATACATCTATTGCCTGGAGACACCTGGTACATCCACAGAAAGTGAATAATTGCAAGGATTGAATGAAATTAAGCACCCCGGATCAGAGATGGTTTTGTGTGAGGATAAGGCACAGCTGGTGTCCTTTTAAAAGGTGAAATGAGGCTAATTGGATAATCCAGAAACCAAGTAGACTGAAGTAGGCAAAAGAAATTGATGTTCAGCTAAAAGAGATATATTCTCTGGAAGAGGGAGAAAAAGCTTTGTGTGTGCACAAAATGTGACATCAGGAATTGGAAATCTTTTGATATAAACTTTAAGATTTCTTTATAATGATATTTCTTTATAATGATATAGGACCTTTTGAGTGAAGACGCTGAATGTGAATTAGAGGGAGGCTGGACTTTTCAGGTACAAAAGAGCATATACCTGTGTCTGGCTGTCTCATGAAAATTCTTGTTATGTCGGTTGCAATGAAACATTCTTTGAAAAGAAAATGGATTTTATACCTAATTCTAGTTAGTAGTCTACGTGGCTATATGCTCAACCCAAATGAAAGCCTTAATTATGCTGCTAGTAAAAGAATCATGTGCAGAGGTAAACGTCCAGCACATCAGGAAGGCAGAAGTTGTGAATAAATCTAAGAGTGTTATTGTGCTAGTATGTACCTACTCGGAGGCTGCATCTGTAAGAGGGCTGGTTAAACGAGGGACACCAGCTGTTACCTGCTAGGGATGAAATTAACCAGTCCTTCAGGTGGAGGGTGTGAAATTGACCCAGTGGCCTCATTTTTATAGTCCTCTAACCACCAGACCCCAAGAGCTCTGGAGCAAGGTGAGGTAATGTTTGCGTTTCATAGCATCTTATATTTGATGCAGTAAACAGCAGAGAGACCAGTGGTCAGCCAGAGGGTCCTGGTGTCCCATTGTATTTCCAGGGTCTGTCCCAGTGCCTGGTGCTGACTGGGGCTCAGTAAACATGCAAATGTTATGTAATCAGCAGTGACATAACAGGACCACAAGTTGGCCTTAAATAACAGTAAGCTCTTCTCTTGTTCATTTCCAATCCCTGTGGAAATGGGTAGGCATCTTGGGGAGTTTCTTGGGTGGCAGGGAGTTGCTGCAGGACCAGCAAGAGGGATGGAACGAGCCATGCTTTCGGCTTCCACAGGCTACTGAGAAGGACGCCCACGGCTGGGGGGTGAGCACTCAGGCCAAAGCAAAGCCCATGAAGGGGCCTCACAGGGCTTCTGCCCAAGGCCCTGAGGATCCTGCCACCTCTTCTAGAAACAACCAGAGAAGGGCTGGTCTCAAGAGACCTGCCTTGGAGGACCTGCCGTATCATTTTACCTTGTGGCCTCCTTTCTCCATCACTGCGGGTCCTCCATCACTGTGGCCTTTCTGCTTTCCCCAGCAGAGTCTCCTGGCACTGCCTGAAACTGTCTGCTGCTAACCCGTTTCTTACCCACGCATTTGGCGTCCCATGCTTGCCGGGTATGAAGGAGTCTCTCCAGACATCGTTACCCTCAGTTCCTGGCTTGAGAGGGGCTGACGTGGGGTCAGCCGTCCCCTACTGGATGGCTTTCTAAAGCAGCCAGCCCTAAAATATAGGACATTCAGCTGAGAAGAGAAATAGGGCAGACAGCAGCTGCCATCACTTGTTAATTACAAGTCCTTCCCAAGTATCCGCCCATCCCACCACTACCCGCCCCCAGAAAAACTTCCCCAAGTTTCAGGACCAGGCTGATCCCTGGCACAGCTCCCCAAAGGAGAGCCAGGTACCATCTAGGGTTGGCTCCAGTGACCTGTCAAAACTCAAGCCTCAGGCCCTGCAGTGAACATCCTGTGTTGTCTCCTCTGGGACTGCCCTTGGAGCCTAACCCCCGATGCCCTGATGCTGGGGTGGACCTCTGGGGTCCTCCCTGACAACTACATCCCAGTGCTGTCACATGGAAGGCAGAAGTGGTTGTCAAATGTGCATGTGGTGTTATTGGTGGTGGCTGGATTTTTGTTTTGTTCTGAGATTTTTTTTAATTTTGGTAAAATACACATAGAACATAAAATTTGAGATTTTAACCATTTTTAAGTGTACAATTCAGTGGCATTAAGTACTTTTACATCGTGATGCAACTATTGCCGCTATTAATCTCCAGAACTTTTTCATCATCCCCAACTGAAACTCTGTACCCATTAAACAACTCTCCATTCTCTCCTCCCCCCGCCCCTGGTAACCACCATTCCTTCTGCCTCTATGAGTTTGACAATCCTGGGTACCGCATATAATGGAATCATCCTTTTGTATCTGGCTTGCTGCACTTAGCATAATGTCTTTGAGGTTGCATGTTGCAGTCTGTATCAGATTATCAGAATTTCCTTCCTTCCTAAGAGTGGATAATAATCCATTGTGTGTATCTACCACATTTTGTCTATCCAGACATTGGTTGATGGACAAGTGGGTTGCTTTCATCTTTTGGTTATTGTGACTAATGCTGCTATGAACATGTGGGTACAAATTACAAGTATCTATTCAAGTCCCGGCTTTCAATTCTTTAGGGTACATACCCAGAAGTGGAATTGGTGGATCGTATGGTAATTCTATTTTAAATTTTTGTAGAAACTGCCTGTTTTTATAGCAGCTGCACCATTTTACGTTCCCACCAGCAATGAACACCATTCCAATTTCTTCACATCCTCATCAACACTTACTTTTTTGCTTTTCTTTTTCTTCCAACTTTATTGACCCATAATTAACATACAGCACTGTATAACTTTGTGTCCAGCGTAATGACTTGACTTACGTACATCACGAAATGATGACCACAAATTTAGTGAGTATCCATCATCTTATACAGATAACAAAATTAAAGAAATGGAAAAAAAAACCTTTTTCCTTGTGATGAGAACTCTTTGGATTTGCTGTCTTAACTTTCATATATAACGAAGAGCAGTGTTAATTATATTAATCATGTTGTACATTACATCCCTAGTACTTATTTGTCTTATAACTGGAAACTTGTACCTTTTGACCACCTTCATCCAGTCCCCACCCCTCCACCGCCAGCCTCTGGGAACCACAACTCTGATTTACAAGTTTGTTTGTTCGTTTTTGAAGTATAATTGACTTTGAAGTATAATATAATTGTTAAGTATAACATAACAGCACTATGTTAGTTCCTGGTACAAAACATAGTGATTCGATATTTCTATACATTTCAAGATGATCACCATGATAAGCCCAACTACCATCTGTCAGCATACAAAGATATTACATAACTATCGACCACATTCCCCACACTACATTTCATACCCATAAAGTTCCAGTTATTTTGTAACTGGAACTTTGTACCTCTTAATCCCCCTCACTTATTTCTCTCCTCCCCCCAGTGCCCTTCCCTCTGGCAAGCACCCATTTGTTCTCTGTATCTATGACTGTTTCTGTTTAGTTGTGTTTGTTCATTTGTTTTTAGATTCCATATACAAGCAAAATCATACAGTATTTCTTTGTCTGATTTATGTCACTTAGCATAACACCCTTAGGTCCATCCACGTTGTCGCAAGATTTAATTTTCATGGCAGAGTAATAGTGCAATGTATAGATTCCACATCTTCTTTATCATTACTCTTTAAAAAAAAATGGCAACCTCAATGAACGTGGAATGGTATCTCATTGTGGTTTTGATCTGCATTTCCCTAATGACTAATGACATTGAGCATCTTTTCATGTGCTTATTGGCCGTTTGTATGTCTTCTTCAGGCGAACACCTTCATTCAAGTCCCTCGCCCAAATTTTAAGTGGGCTGTTGTTGTTCAGTTGTCGAATGTGTTGTTGTTGTTTTTTAACATCTTTATTGGAGTATAACTGCTTTACAATGGTGTGTTAGTTTCTGCTTTACAACAAAGTGAATCAGTTATACATATGTCCCCATATCTCTTCCCTCTTGCATCTCCCTCCCTCCCACCCGTGTTTTCAATCTAGATGAAGAAATCCTTACCAGAGGCTCTCAACCAGTCAGCAGTCCAAGTAACAGTGGCCGGACTGAGCTCGTGCTCACGCCACTTGCCCTATGTTTACCAGCTGCCTAATACGTAGAACAATCACACATACCGCGCCAGAGAAGGGCGGTTAGGAGAGAATAAGCAGCTCAGTCTCACAGCAACGTATTAACTAAATAGGTCTTGAAGGCAAGGACCACCAAGGCCAGGCTGCAGACCTGGGGACTCATCTAGGGCAGGAGCTCTCACCCTGGCTCAGCCTCTCAAAAGTCCTGACCCAGCCACGCTGAAACTCCCAAGACCAGTGGGTCTCACCACCGGGCGCACGTTAGCATCACTAACCTCCAGGGCAGCTTATAAAACACGGGGTTTGGGACTTCCCTGGTGGTTCAGTGGTTAGGCCTCCGTGCTCCCAATTTAGGCGGCCCGGGTTGGATCCCTGGTCGAGGAACTAGATCCCGCATGCCGCAACTAAGACCCAGTGCAGCCAAATAAATAATTTTTTTAAAAAAATCAGGTTTGTATAGGCCAAACCCCTCAGACCTCAGACCCTCTAGGGGTGGCGCTGGGGCAGTGATGTTTTTGAAAGGTGCCCAAGTGATTCCAAAGGGCAGTCAGGTTGACGACCACCGCTCACCAAACACCGTGACCTGACTTAAAATGTGTGCGTCCATTGGTATTTCTTTGTTGTTTCCCTGTTGGATTGCTTGTAAGAGCGGCACTTGTGTTTCTGTCCTATGAGCTTTTGATCCTGTAAGAGAGGACGCCGCCTCTCAAACCCGCACAGCAGGTGCAGGGCGTGGCCCGACGCCATCACGAGGCCCGCGTGGCCCCCAGGCTGCCCCGCACGCGCCCTAGCTCCGCCCCCAAACGAGCTCTCCCGCCCTCCTCCGACCCCACGCCGCCACGTGGCCCTGCCCCGCCCCGCTCACGTTGCCGGCCGGTCCCCTAAGCCCCCATGCGCCCCCCTAGGCCCCCGCGCGCCCCGCTCTAAAGTAAACACCCAGGAGCGGCGGCGGCCGGACGGTGCGGTGACTCCGCCCGCTCGCCGCCTCGGTGCCGCGGGCGGGTCTGGCCATGGCCGAGGGCGTGCCGACCTCCGCATCGGGCGGCGCGGGCTGCTGGGGCGCGGCCGGGCCTACACGGCGGCATCATCCAGTGGTGAGCGGGACCGCGTCGGGACCGGGACCGCCCCGGAGGATGGGAGGGGCGAGGGGGGCGAGGAAAGGGAGCGTGGCTCCCATGGCTGCTGTCCCCAGGACCTCGGACCAAGTGCCAGGGGCGACCGCCTGCGCCCCCGGGGCCCTGGTAAAAGGCTCAAAAGGACAGCCGTTCACACGCAGGACCAGCGCTTCTTCATGCTGGCTGGGATGGGACTGGACACGCACACACACGCACACACGATGGGGCAGTGTGGGTTTCCCACCTTGGGGCCTCCCCTGTTGGTCACGTTTCCAGTGGGAAGCAATCCAGCCTGCCCTCCACCGGGGGGCTTGTTGGTGGGCCTGGGTTTACATATACATCTGAAAGCACGAGGGCTAGGCCAGGAGAGGAAATGTTTTCTCTCAGTGTGCGATCCAGAATGGGATGTTTCCTAACTTAAAGCAAAGCAGTTTTTAGCTCTAACAGTGCATTCCACATTTGAGAAATTCACTTCTGGCCATTTAAATAGAGGAAGAAAAAGCTGGAAAGAAAACTATCTTCAGCCCTTGGGACTGATGAACTCATGGGTTTGTAGCGCTTCATAAATAGGAAAATAATTGAAACCAGTCCTAAAACATTCGTTTTAGAAGGTGAATAACTAGTAGATAGCTGATTACTTTGTTTTTTAAGTTTTAAGGAGTATTTCTCAAGAAAGAAATACTTTCTGGAAAAGTTCAATGAGTGAAATAGAAAAATGAAGGGGAGTGTTCGTGATTAGAACCCAAAAAGGCCTAAATGGTCACCCCTTTCCTCCAGAAGAAAATTTTTGATGTATTTTACCTTGCGTAAGAGAAAAAAATCAAAAGAATAAATATTTTTAAATAATTCTAAAAATATTTTTTAAAAAAAACAAAAAACCACAGCACACACAGTGTTTTCAGAGTGTTGCACAGCAGGGCTCTATTTCTTTCACACTTAGACCCCTCAGCATATCTGCACCTTCAAGTTTCAGGTCAGCATTTAGTAAATTAGAGTTTCTAGGACTTGAATAAGTCGAGAGACTCGAAAGAATGGTTAGGGTTTCAGAAAATACCTAGATGTTCTCCTCAGGTCATTTGTGAACTGACGGTGCAGGCTGCCCGCAAAGCAGATGCCCTAAATCACTTAGGATGGTACTCAAGTCCTGTGTCACAAACTCCTGTCCCTGCAGGCCTCGGACCCAGGGGGCCAGGTTATGCTCTTCAGGTGGGGTGAGGCGGGGCCATGGAAGTGAGGAGGGGCAGAGTTTCCCTTGGAAGACTGCTCTTTAGGCATCCCATCTATGAGGTGCGATGCTTGAGAGGTCATTGTGCAACCCACCTGGGTCCCTGGACTCTTTAATCAATAGAAGTTGATAAGACTCCAGAAGAGGAATTCAGGCAAGGCTTTATTGGGACTCGCGCTACAGCAAGAGGGAGCGAAAACAAGTAACAGGTCCCCTTTTTTGCTCTCCGAGGAGGGCGGACTGTCGGGCTGGGGGGGCGGGGCTTAGGTGGCGTGCCCACCCCCTTGGTGGTGCCGTGCGCAGGGATCATGTGCAGGACCCTGCTTTTGCTCCCAGCTCCTCAGAAGTGGCAGTTGGGTTTTGGCGGTTTTGAATCTTCTTGTTCATAATTTGCCCCAGCTGCATGTGCATGCAGTTACGTGTAGTCCCTTATGTCAATAGTTTCTTTGTATTCTGATGCTCTGGGAGACGTTTGTCTGGGGCAAACACTCTGGTAAAGGGTCCCAGGTCCCAGCCTGTCTCAGTTGGTGCTGGTGGTTTGAACATTGGCATTAAAAACACAACTGCAACCACCCCACGCTGGTTAGGATGGCCATTATCTGGTTAGGATGGCCATTATCAAACAAACAAAAATAGAAGATAACGAGTGTTTGTGAGGATGTGAAGAAATTAGAACCCTCGTGCACTCTTGGTGGGAACGTAAATTGGTGTAGCCACTGTGGAAAATAGATTAGTGGTTCCTCAAAAAATTGAAAATGGAACCACCATGTGATCCAGCAATTCCCCCTCTGGGCATATGCCCCAAAGACTTGAAAGCAAGGATTGGAACAGATATTCGCATCCCCATGTTCAGAGCAGCGTTATGCACAATAGCCAAAGATGGAAGTAACCCAAGTGTCCTTCAGCAGATGAATGGATAAACAAAATGTGGTCTATACGTACAATGCACTATTATTCAGATATAAAAAGGGAGGAAATTGTGATACAGACTGCAACATGGACGAACCTTGAAGACATTATGCAAAATGAAATGAGCCGGTCACAGAAGGACAAATAGTATGTGATTTCACTTATACGAGGCACCAAGAGGAGTCAGCTTCATAGAGACAGAAAGGAGAGTGGTGGTTGCTGGGGGCTGGGGGAGAGGGAACAGGGAGTAGCGTTTCTGGCTGGTACAGAGTTTCAGTTTTGTGAGACAACCAGAATTCTTTGGATGGATGGTGATGCACCAGCAATTGCACAACAGTGAGAAGGTACTTAATGCCACCGAACTCTGCATTTAAAAATGGTGCATTTTATGTTACGTATATTTTACCAGAATTAAAACATGAACAATTTTTAAAAAACCAAACACAGCAGAGCCCCTCGGTTTGTAACAGAGCTAGGCGTCCTGGAAGGTGTTAGAAGATGGCCAAGGAGACCAGCTTCCTGGAAGAGTGGCAGTGGGTACCGGCGCGTGAGGTGTCCAGGTGCCCAGAAACAGCTCAGGCTTCTGAGTGAAAGCCCAGGGAGGGGCTGATTGTTGTCGCGTGAAAGAAACGCTCAGTTTTTAGCATATTCATTGTTTCATCTCCCAGTCAGTCCTGGTTGGGCTTCCAGTGTTCCTTAGAGACTTCAGTGCCTCTGCCACCAACTTGTGATAAGTTCTCCAAGGAGAAAGAAAGGTCCCGCCTCTGGAAACCGAAGTACTAGAAGTTTTCTGTTTCACGGACAGGAAGGATTGTAGAAATGGGGAGAGAAGTGGTCAGACCTCTGAGGAGCACAGAAGGATGAAGTGACCTGATTTCCTCTGCTGCGGGTACAGATCCGGCAGGTCGGACAGGTGGGACCCCTGGCTCAGACCTCAGGCAAAAAATCTAAATGTCACCTAAACCCTACGCACGCGGAGCCAGGCTGTAGACCAAGTAACTGTCTCCTGCATATAAATACGGCTTTCAGATTTCTGCAGACTCTTGTGGTTCATAAGGTGGAAATTTACTTTGAAAGGTACAGAATTCATAATAGCCTTTGATCAGGCTGAATCAAAGGGTACAGTCACTCCCAGTGTTACATTTTTCTTTATGAGGAAAAGGAGCCCTCAGAAATGTGAGAGCTGCAGGACCCGGTGTGGGTGCTCTGAAGTTGGCAATGATCAGATTGTCCATCACTGAAAACGAGGAGAGCGTCATGAGGTTCTCAAGATCTTAGCTGTCAGCTTCGTCTCATAGTGAGACCTGGGGAAGGTGATCATGCACCCAAGCAAGGAACTGAGCGATCTGATCGACTCCAGCCTTGGACAGGCTTTATAATCATGTATCGCCAAAAACCGTATTGGTGGCTCCGTGTGAAAGCAAGCCTTGTCCCGTCTCACCTGCCAGGAGTCCTGGCCAGCCCTACTGGCTGCATATCCTCATCGCGCCCCCCACCGGACCCACGTGTAGTTCAAAGTCAGGCTCACCTGCAGTAGGTGCTTCTGTGCTGCCGGTCTGCCAACGTGGACGCCTTTCTTGCTTCCATTCAGGATTTTGGAGGTGGACGTAAAAATGATAACAGTAAGAGCCACCGTGTGCCAGCCAGTGTACCAGCCACATCCCATGCCTGGATTTCTCATCACAAAAACTCCAAGAGACGTCTCAGAGTCAGAACCTACACCTGGGTCTGTGAGCTTTGAAGCCCTGGGTCAGAGTCACGGTCGTAAGTTCCTCTGGGCGTGGAGACTAAATGCAAAAGCACGTACTCTTTAAGCCGAAGTAAAGGCACCATCTGAACATAGACGCTCTCACAGGACCTTCCACTTGTCCACTTAGTGTGTGCTGCCTCCTCCCACGGGCCATCCGTGAGATCTGGCTGTGAACTTTGGGGAGAAGATGAAAGGCCCTGGGCTGAATCTCCTGGAGCAGCAAAAGTACCAAGCATTGGCGCTGGGCTCGCAACCAGGAGGCAGCCCTTTCTCTGAGTGTGGGCGGAGAAAAGACTCTGGTCCTGGACCTTGGTGGGATATCACTGATGGTGTAATTTGGTCTTAATTGTCCACTCAGGTGGCCGTCAGACTCAGCAGTGTCATTTTGAAATAGGAGGACAAGAGGCCCAGAGCACATGAATTTCAGTGACAAGGAAGAACAACTGGCAAAAGTTTATACCCAAGCTCATTTTGGAGAGTATTTTGCGCATTTCTTTTTTAAGGAGACCATTCCATGGCTACACCGGAAGTAGCTACGAATAAACAAAAGTGAGCTTGTACTTAATGTTGGTCACGTTTTGCTGCCCCTCCCCAAACTTAGCCAGTGTTTCCCTGTGACACTTCGCATGCCGGTTTTTTATATGTCAGCAAATGTCTTAATAAAATAAATATCGATATCTCACGGATCTGTGAATTTGCCACTGCCCCACACACCACCAGTGACATTACCCCGTGTTCAACCGTGAAGCAAATAATTGGTGTCCCAGCAGCTGTAATTAATCCATTGTGAGGTGTCCAAAGTGTCAGGTTCCCACCCTGATGCTACGGGAGAGTCTCAGAAAATGCCCTCCTTGGGCTTGGACTGGGTTGAATGGTGCCCCCCCCCCACAAATGCATGTCTGTATGGAATATCAGAACGTGACTTTGTTTGGAAATAGGGTCTTTGCAGATGTAACCAGTTAAGAGGAGGCCCCACTGGATTAGGGTGGGCCCTAAATCCAGTGATGGGCGTCCTTATAAGAAGAGACGAGGAGGGACCTCCCTGGTGGCTCAGTGTTCAGAATCCGCCTGCCAGTACAGGGGACACGGGTTCAAGCCCTGGTCCGGGAAGATCCCACATGCCGTGGAGCAACTAAGCCTGTGCGCCACAACTACTGAGCCCGTGTTCTAGAGCCCAGAAGCCACAACCACTGAGTCCACGTGCCACAACTACTGAAGCCCACGCGCCTAGAGCCCGTGCTCCGCAACAAGAGAAGCCACCGCACCACAACAGCGAGTAGCCCCCGCTCGCTGCAACTAGAGAAAGCCCGCGCGCAGCAAGGAAGACCCAACGCAGCCAAAAAAAAAAAAAGAAGAGGTGAGGAGACAGCCAGGTGAAGGCGAGGGCACTAGAGTGATGCATCTACAAGACAAGGAGTGCCAAGGGTTTCTGGCAGCCACCGGCAGCCAGGAGGAAAGCATGGAGCACACGCTTCCTCAGCGCCTCTGGAAGGAACCAACGTGGCTGACACCTTGATTTGGACTTTCAGCTTCCAGAACTGTGACAGAATATATTTCTGTTGCTTTAAGCCACCTGGCCTATGGTAATTGGTTACCTGAGGAAACCAATACAGGGCCACAGCTTCCCCTCACCCCGCCCGTCCACCATATGTTGACTTTTCCTCCTTCCAGGAAGCAGGTGGGGTTAACAACTGTGGTCTCTTGCTCTCGAGGAAAGTAAATGTAGGCCTCAGCCTGCCTCAGCCCAGAAAATAAGCTGTAGGTCATCAGTAAGAAAGGAGGCGATGCATTGTTGGTAAATTCCCTGCTAAAGAATTCTTCATAGTTTAAAAACTATGCTGGCTTGCTTTATGTATTTCTTTAAAAGAATGAGGAGAAACCTGCCAGTCTGTCCGCAACCAGAAAAGGGAAGGCTGTGACTGGGTGTCAGTGTGGACCACACCTTCTGAGCCCAGTCACCGGCACTACCTGCTCCCTCACTCCCATCCTGCTGCTGGAACAGGCACCTGGTGGTCCCCTCGGGGCTGGACTGTGGGCTGTGAGCCACGGGCACAGCCCCTCGTTGCCAGGGGACCCCACCTGCCCCGGGGCCCAGGAACATTTGGGCCATTGAAGGTCCCATCCCGAGCAGGGCCCTGGGGGCTGCAGATCACATCTGAACGCTTCCAAGCTCTGCACCCAACAGGAAGTAAAGGGCAGGGAGGGTGGCCTGCCTCTCTGTCCCTTGGTGTCTTCCATCTTCCATCTCATTACAATTTAAAGAATCAAAATGTAGGGGCCCCGCCCTAAATCAATCGGGTTTAACAGTCGTGCAAATGACTGCTTCGGGGGTGGGGGGAGGGGGGAGGAGCTGTGCACGCCTGTCCTGGGTCCTAGGAAGCCACATGGGCTCCAGCTGTCACCTGCAGGGGTGATGGACTCTACAAGGGGTGGGGGTGGGGCATTGTTTTGTGTTTTAGCGAGTAAATCTCTGCGTCACAGTGAGAGACCTTGGCTGCCACCTTTACAAAGTTACACGAGGCAGCGTCTGCTGAGCCTAGCAATTTGGGCTTCTTTCTAATATGCCTGCACGCCAGAAAGGTTGAAAGACAACAACAAAACCTCACCACAGCCTAAATCAATATTCCTAACTCTGGCCTGAGCACATTACAGATGCCAATGGGTGAGACTTTGCATTCGATAAAGTAAGCGCATTTCATTTTGTTGGGTCCCTTGCCTGCGTCTGCCCCTCATCAAAGTGTCCCACTCTAGAAAAACAGAGGCCAACCTTCTCTTCCCGCTCTTCTTCCTCCCCGCTCCCAGGTTGGTTGACACCTTCTGCATCTGCGAAGGGTACAGTGTGTGTGCCTCGCTGCCTCATGTATGAGATTTACATGGAGACCTGCAGGCAAAATGCTCAGAACCAAGTCAACCCAGCCACGTTTGGGAAGGTAGGTTGTGAAGATAAAAATACATGTCCACTGAGTAAAAAAAAAAGCATGCAAGTTAATGATGAGGAAATGCTGGGATTTATTTGGGTCCGATGGCTTCCCAGTGGATATAACTGGCTTCACCCTGGGAACCAGTCTGAGGGCTAACATACGTCCTCATCTCCATCTGAAAGCCATTCCGTCCTTTGTCCGTGCTTCATAGTGAGGAGCCAGGAAAGTTCAAGGGTGGGGTGGCATTCACCCAAGAGAATGCAGCTATGGCAGCCTCAGATACCCCCAATTCTCAACCAGCTTGCTGGGCCATTATTCCCCGCATAGAAATGCCACAGCTCAGGACCCCACAAGCTCAAAGAGCCACTTAGTGGTGTCAGACAGCTTATGCTTCCCACAATTCGGTTGTTCCTAGAGAACTCACGGGCACTCAAATGTTTCCTCTGGAGGTTAAGAACTCTGTCAGGGGTTTGTTTAGACCACACACAAAAAAACAAACGTTAGCACAAGGATGGCCTATCTGAGACCCTGCACATCTAACGTATTTATTGAGCAGCTGCTATGTGCCGGCACTGTTTTAGGTGCTGAGTGTACAACAGTGAACAGAACAGAGAAAAATTCCTGCCTTTACTACATTTATTATATTATAGTTGAGGGAGATAAAGAAGATAAAATATATAGTCTCTTAGGTGGTATAAATGCTAAATGGAGCAGAAGGAGGAAAGGACCGTGTGTGTGTTTTAGGGGAGGACTTGTAATTTGAGGGAAGGCAAACAGGGAAGGCCTCCCTGAGAAGTAACATTTGAGTCCAGATTTCCAAAAGATGAGGCAGTGAGTATGGGGCTATATGAGCAAAGAGAAGTGCAGACAGAGCCAGCGCAAAGGCCCTGAGGCAGGAGGGGGCTCAAGTAGCAAGGAGGCTGCAGTGGCTGGAGGGCAGAGACCAGGGAGAGACAACTCAGGGAGGTGGGAGGAGCCAGGCGTGCAGGGAGTGGACAGGGATGCAGCAGCGGATGTCGTGAGAAGGAGTCAAAATCTGGGTGTATTTGGAAGACAGAGCCAATAGGATTTGCTGATGGAAAGAATTAATAGAATCACGGGGCTTAATTGTTATTAAATTAACAATAATAACTTTCAATCGTATATTGCATCCTATTTATTTTCAATCCGGTTTTCAGGAATAGACAGACAAGTTAAAAGGAGAATTTTTTTAAAGGGATATCTCATTTAATCCAACTGCAAGAAGTTGGAGTGGGCCTCATAGAATTTAGTCCAGTACTACCCAGTAAAAATGTAATAGGAGCCATAGATACAATTTTAAATATTCTAGATCCTCATTTTAAAAGTTTTTTTAGGGTGAAATTAATTTTTTATAACTTTTAAATTCAACCCAAAATATTCAAAATACTGTCGTTCAACATGGAATCAGTATTTAAAAATGAACGCGTTGTTTTTTGCATTCTCTTCTTCGTGCTAGATCTCAAAACTCTGACACATCATTTCACATGTACAGCCCGTCTCAGTTCACATGTACAGCCCGTCTCAGTTCACATGTACAGCCCGTCTCAGTTCACATGTGCAGCCCGTCTCAGTTCGGACCAGCTACATTTCAAGTGCTCAGTGGCCGCGTGTGGCTGGTGGGTCCCCTCTGAGACAGCCCATGAGTAGATTACGTCACCAGGCATCTCCTGTCTCTCCCTCTGGTGTATCCGTATGTAAACCACTGGGACGCTGCTTCTCCGCACTGGGCCGCTCCAGGCCCCTTCCCAGAAGCCAGCTTCTGCCACCACTTCACAGCTTCCCAAGGTGGCTGCTTGTCCTGTGATTCCCGTGATGCTGTCCGTGACCACCTGCCCCAGGGTCCCACACTGTAATGGTCTTTAGGCGAGAGAGGCCCACAGGGAGGACAGGTGGGTGGGAGGAAACAGTTGGCATCTTTGAGGCTTTGTCTTGTGTCACAGCCATCAGCAGAGGCTGGTAGCATTAGAAGTCAAGGAGCAAACCAGGAGTGATAACGGTGGAGGGTCCCACAGCCGGTTACAGTGCTTGGGCAGCAAATCTGGTCTCCTTCTTTACGGGTCAGTCCTCTTTCCACCTGCTGTTCCCTCAAAAATATCCTGGACTTCCAAGAGAACTTGGAGGTCACTGGTCCAACTCCACATCCAATGCAAGAGCCCTTCAAAAGCACCTCTGGCTGGGAGCTTTTATGAGAACAAAATGCCCTCTCTGGACAGAGACAGCCATGGGGGCTCGGAGCTGGGAGTGGGCAATGCGTTTCTGCAACAAGGAAGCTGCTCTTCCTCTGGGCAGACGCGATCCCTCCCCAGGACCCATGCTTGGCAAGCAGAGCACAGGCGGATGGAAAGCCACCCGACTCCTTGCAGGCCTGGGGACAGCTCACAGCCTGCAGGATCAGACCCCTGCAGGGGCCACCTGGCCGGTGCTGAAATGACCTGGGGGACAAGCCAGCTCACGGCCGCAGAGATTCCAGTTCAACCTCTCCCTCCCATCTTTCCTCCCTTCCTCTTGCTCCTTCTTTCTCCGTGGTCCTCGGTGGACAGAATGGAATTGGTTCATGACACGCTCTTACCTTCGGTCCACTCACAGCCTGATTCCCTCTAGTTCTTTCTTTCGTTGCGGAGCACAGGCTCTGGACGCGCAGGCTCAGCGGCCATGGCTCACGGGCCCAGCCGCTCCGCGGCATGTGGGATCTTCCCGGACCAGGGCATGAACCCATGTCCCCTGCAGCGGCAGGCGGACTCTCAACCACTGCGCCACCAGGGAAGCCCTCTTTCGTTCTTTTTAACAATGTTATAAGCATCTTTGAACCCATCGCCCCGTATGAACCATATGGCCAGATCCCTGTATCCATCTCCCTGCCTTCCCCGCTGGTGGGAACCATCAACCCCTTCATCGTTATCTTTCCTTTTTAAAAAGAGTTTTAGTGCATTTGTATGTCTTTCTGTTTTTGTTTTCTTTTTTTTGACCTTTGACCCCCTTCACCCATTTTGACCACCCCCATCCCCGACCTCTGGTAACCATCAATCTGTTCTCTGTTTCAGTGAGATTGGTGGTTTTGTTTTACTGTTGTTTTCTACATTGCATATATAAGCAAGATCATACCATCTTTGGCTTTCTCTGTCTGACTTATTTTATATAATGTATTTCTTTTAAAAGCCCATTTTTTATTTTTGTGGCTTAACTTTTTAAAAAGGAGGGTCATGTTATATGTCATCTTTTGGGACTTTTTCCACTTATTATTATATCAAGATTCCTCTACATTCATTTGACTGTTGTGTAGTAGTTCAGTTTACCTACCTTCTCTCCCTTTGATGAGCATTTGGGTCGTTTCCCAATTTTGCTGTCGTGAACATTCACGTGTGTATCTCCTGCTATGCACGTGGAGATGTTCTCTTGGGCGTGTGTGTCCAGGGGTGAACTTGCAGGCTGACGGGCTGTGTGACTATGACGTCTGCAGATGGGACCAGATCGTTTTCTGAAATGATGGCTTCTGTTGCCCTCCCACCGACAATTCTGTAGATTCCAATGATGTTTCCAAAACACTGCCATTTTTAGACCCATTTCTCTAGCCGCAGTCATCATCCCTGAAACGCAGTCATTGGTGGAAGCTCTGCACTTTGGATAATCATAAAATAAGTAGAATCTTCTAATACGGCAGTTGCTCAAATATCGGAAAGAATTGTTTAAACCTTCGTGTCTTCCCTTCTTCATTGAATACTCCTCGGTCCCAAATTTTTACTTCCCTGACTACTTGTTTCGTTTTGACTTCAATTTATTGGTGTTTCTCTTCAAAGGTAGGTTCCCCAAGGGTACAACCCAGTGTCTCAGGAGGGCTCAGAAGACGGGGCTTCTATTTCTCTTTTTTAACTTTTTGGGCTACTGTTCGCTTTCATGCTTCCATGCCACTCTGTTGGTTTCATTTTCAGCTTGTGATCCAAAAAAAGAAACAAAAAACCCTTCGGTATTTCTTTCACACGAACTAAAAGTAAGCTAGCCCTCCCAAAACTGCTTTATAAACTGTAAAGCACTCCATGTAGATACAACATGTTGTCCTTGTTATCAGACTGTGGTCATTATGCCCGTGACCGTGGGAACCCAAGAGTGGCTGTTCCCTTATTCCGAGTTGCAGCTTCTTAGTGCCGACCTGCCGTGTCTTCTAGACTCACAGTCATCCAGTCGTCTCAGCCTGCTGAAGCTCACACGTGGCAATAGCACATCTCTTATCCCCCCTTCAATAAATCAAAAGCAATGTGGACACGTGCAAGGTGTTAGGCTCTGGAGCTCGCTGGGTGTCTCTGGAAGGTTTTCCAACCAGCCAGGAATTCCCCCGGCTGTCTTATCACTCAGCCCACATTTTGTCCTTTCTTCACTAGGCACATTGGGGCACTTCCTCAAGGGCTTTGCTAGTCTGGGTATCCTGGCACTAAGCCGTTTCCCTATCTGGCAGCCTTATCAGATGGGAGTGGGGTGACGAGCTTGACACGTCTTGGTTCTAGATGATCTCTACTTCCTTTTTTAAGAAATCAAAGGGTCCTTTTCAAAACCTCTCTCAGATTTTCTTCTAAGTGGTTTCCCCTCAAGGGCAGTCCTACTACAGGGTGTTCCGAAAAAAGAGTTAAAAAGAGCCTCCGGTTCGTGACCACGGGCATTTGTCTAGCATTTTTGATCTTCCTGCTTCCCTTCGAATCCATCCCCCAAGACACTGAGGTCCTAGCTTTCAATTCTCGTTGGGAATTTACCCGAAGAATGAGTCAGTTCAGTGGTGCTGGTCTTGGAAAGGGACCCTGAGCTGCTGAATCTGTGACTCGGTGGAGAAGGGAGAGGAAGGGGAAAAGGATGTGATCCCAAAGCTTGTTTACAAGAGAAACAGCAAAATACCCACTTCTCACTTCCTGCCTCCCCCCCGGGATTGGGGTTGATTCCAGACTCCACACCAAGTTCCTGTGCAGATGTTGGGGTGTTTCTTGCTCTGCTCAGCAGTCCCGGGTGTACGACAGCTCATCTCACTCCCAGCGCAAGTGATGGCTTGTGTGGATGAGGAAATTTCCCAAAGGCTGACTTCCTTTTTTTAAAGTAACATTTCCTGATGTTTTTCTGATTATGAAAGAACACATTCCCTTTATAGAAAATGTGGGAATTCGAGAGAAGGGTATAAAAGAAGAAGAAGATAAATGCTGGCTACGACCTCACTGTCCAGAGATGCAAGCACATGTGTGGTTTATTTGCAGGCCCCCGACACACTCACATACACGTGCCAGCAGGAGCGGGGAGTGATCACAGAGGCCTCTCTGTTTCCCACGTCCCTTCGGTCCTGCCCACGCGGTGGTGCTTCCTCCCTCCTGAAGGAGCATCTGAGCAGGCAGCCTGACCTCTCTGGAACTCCTTGGGTGACACAAGGCCCCATTGTCCTTCTAGTTTACCAAGCAGTATCTGTCTGACGCTTCGAATGTCCAACCCCACATAACGTCCAAACTCTGAGCCGGGTTTAACGTGGAATCGCTTCCGCAGTCCTCCAGCGAGGTTTCTCGCCAGCAGAGAACTAGTTGCGGGGGTCTTCTCTTCCTCCCTCCCATTCTTCTACCACCTTGCTGGGTGTTGGTTGGACCCCGTGGGAGGGGAAGGTTAAGAGTGGCTGCAAAGTTTCTACTGCACAGCTTCACACTTTGGGAGGCCAGGCAGACCCTTGTCTCCTGGTGCCTTTGTTGACTTCTGCAGGGCAGCCCTTGGGAATGTCCTAGAATGCATCCCTGGCCTTGGTGAATGACTCTGAAGCCTGACTGCCCATCCTGGGGGGCCTTGCTGGGCAGAGTCCAGGCTCTCCCACCTGTCAGCTCTTTATCACGGGTGACCAGTGTCTGGCCATCGAAACTTCTCAGCCACTCTTGGCCTGAACAGGCTGTGGGTGTGCTGAGCCAGGGCAGCAGCCGTGCCCCTCTGCCTTCCCCCCAAGGCTACTGGCTGGCCAGCCGTCTCTTATCCATCCAGAGTCCTCTGCCCAAGCCAGACACTGACTGCGAGGGCCTCACGATCAGCCCTTCAGGCAAATCTGTGAACCCCCTTCCCCTGGGCCCCAGGTGACTGGACCATCCTGTCCTGCACACCCTTCATAGGTCAGGGAGTGGTCTTGCTGCAAGAAACCCCCTTACACATCCTCCGTTTCCTCCTCTCTCTGTCTCATGGTGGGTGATTTGAGTCGAGGACTTTTTAGAGTTTTCTAACCAAATTTTAGCTGAAAGCCTGAAAGTGCAAGTCCCCTGGCAGGGCGAGTCTCACAGTTCACCTTGCTGTCTGTCTCTGTCTTCACGCCCCAGCCTCTTGTGTAGACACCACAAGGATGGATGGATTGAAAGATCAATGTGTGGATGGATGGATGGACATGTGGATGGTCAAACAGGTGGTTGGACAGACAGACAGACAGGTAGCCCTAAGCCTAGAATCAGACTAACTAGTTTATAATCCTGGGCAAGTTATTTAACTTTTTTGTGCCTCAACTTCGTCATCTGTAAAACGAGAATATTCATAATGTTAATACCAGTACCTCCTTAATGAGAGGCTTTTAAGAAATTAATGAGAAAAACACACATAGAGAGCATTGGACACATAGGAAGCAACCAAGGGCTGTTAACTTTCATAATTACGTACATACATATTTTCACTTAGAATGTCATAAACATTTTCACATTAAACTATTTCTAAATGCATGGTGTAGAATGGCTGTGAAATATTTTTTTGGCTGTTCCAGAATCCACTTAACCATTTTCCTTATTGGAAATTTATGAAGTTTATAATTTTTCTCTCTTCTGAGGAACATGAGTCTCCATCTGTATCTGGTAATTCCCCTCCGAGAGATTCTAGACAATTGTAAGCTCACGTGCTAGTTCTTGATATTCTTACCCAAATCCATAATATCCTTGACCTAGGGAACTTGTTGGGTAAGAACTACATTTAGCTGTTTCAACTTGCATTCATTGTATGGTTAGGGAGGGTGGGTTCTTTGGCATGTGTTTTGGTTATGTGTATCCTTCATGTATGTACATTATTATCCGATCACTTTCTATTGGGGTGTTAGTGTTTTTCCTGTTGATTTATGTGAGCTCTATATACTAGGTAGATATGTTTTGTTTTTTTTTTACTTATTACATCTTTTGGAAATAATCATCTCAGTTGCTTTTTAAATTTTGACTGTGGTGTTCCCGATTATAAAATGAAATCACAGGATAGTCTGGGGTTGGAAATACTCAGTAAAATAAGACGTGTGGATTACTGTCCTGCCAGGCAACTAGGAATTTGTTTCTGCTTCTCCCTCCGGAACACCAGATGATACGCCAGGGCCTTGAATCTGAGTCTGCTGCGTGCTTGAGGATAATCCTTCTTGGTAGCACTTATTTTACAACTAGACCTAGAGGGAAGGTTTTAAGCGATGTTCTCAAGAGAAGATGAAGTGGTCAATCTGCGGTTGAAAGTAGGAACTTCTGGCTCCGAATGCTGCCTTTAGACGTGGCTGACGTTTTCTTTTAACTCCTGTTGTCACTTATTTTCGTCGTACGTTCTGGTTCTTCTTCCCTGAAGGAGCCTCGATTTGGCCTCGTGACCTCGATGTGCCAAGACCTGCCTCTCCATCCCTAACTTGTGCCTTCCCACCTGGGCTTGGGCGGCTTCCTGGAGGAAGAGGTGGGGCCTGGCACCAGCCAAGAGAAACGCTTCAAGACACTGTCAAATCCTGCTGCTTTTGGAAGCTAAGAATAAACAAAGGAGGCTGGCAGAAGCGGAGGCTGAGTGACTACGGAGCAAATTGTAGAAAATCACAGAAATCATTACATGACAGCTTGGCACATCCTGCCTTCCTGCTTTGTATTTTGTAATTTTACCACAATCCAGGATTTCCCTTTTCAACAGGCATCCACTTGGATACCATGCTTGTCATGGACCTGTGAACGACCTGTAAACCTGGAAAAAAAACAGACTTCTGTTTTTTTAAAATGTAATTGGTCATAGACATCATATCAGTGCTGTCTAAGAAAACGCACATCAGAAAGATGGTGGGGTTTGGGACTTCCATGGCGGTCCAGTGGTTAAGACTCCGCGCTCCCAATGGAGGGGGCACGGGTTCGATCCCTGGTCGGGGAACTAAGATCCTGCATGCCGCATGGCACGGCCAAAAAAAAAAAGATAAGATAACGGAGAGATGAAACGTTGAGTCCAGAAGTAGCTCTGTTATTCAATATTTAACAGCATTTGCTAACAAAACCTTTAAAATGAAAAAATTAGGTAAACAAATGAATAATAAAAAGTGAAAATGCCAATCACATTGGAAAAAAGAAACTAGTAAAATCATGGCACACTCACATGCTGGACTATTTTGCAGTGTTTGTATTGATACTTCCCTGTTTTCAGAGAATTTTTAATGACAAGGGGAAGTGTTTATGGTACAAGCTGGAGGGAAGAAAGTGGAAAGCAGAGCTGCAGGCATGCTAATTGTGTGATGCTGGTATTTCCTATGTAGACCCACAGAATCCGTGTACATAGTGAGGCTTCGGAAAAAGATGGGAATGAACCACATTGAGGTCTACACGGCAGTATCCCTCCGAGTGGTGTGTTTCCTTCTTTATACTTGTCCGACTTTTCCAAATTTCAGTTACATATATTTTCTTAATGATCGGAAAAGAGGGAATACAGTTTAAACGTGGCAAGAGATGAAGCTGGAAGTTCTATTTCTAAATTTTCAAATTGCAGCTTTAAATCTGGCTTATTCTTTTAGCTCGTGCACTTGGTTTTCCCTGATCTTGGCACCCGGAGGTGGGGCACAAGAGGAAGTGCCAGGTAGGTTGATCATTTTTGTTTTATTATTTTTTTAAATAACACTTCTTAAAAGTTCACATGTGCATAATAGGAAACCAAAAAACAAAAGAAGCAAAACACAAAGTCATCCATAATCACAAGCAGTTTGTTTGTTTTATTTTAAATGTTAAAAACACACATTTTGAAAAAATCACAAAATGGGTGACCAGAGAAATGCAAAACTAAACAAACGATAAATATCACCTCTTACCAAAGAGTTCCTACAATTATATGAAATTCCCAGTGCCTGGTGTAATTCAGGTGATGCAAGGACCAAATATGAGTCTCTATCTTCTTGAGAGATTTTGTTTAAATACAAAGGTCACAGTGTATTTTTCTGTTTCTGACACTTCCAACGTTTAGATATGTAAATGTCTAACTGTTGAAATAGTTAAGCAACTATATCCCTAGAACAATAAAACTGTTTTAATTACTCCTTGAACTAAAATTTCCAAGCATTCATCTAATTCGCATATTTGGATTCTATTCTGGAGACAGAAGGTACCCGGGTGATATTTTTAACTTGGAAGGAAATTCCAGTGTTATCGGGTGCATCCTGTTATAATTGTCACTCAGTTATCATTGTTATTTGTTGTTTGTTTTAAATCAAGAAAAATCAGGAGAAATCAGTGAGATCAGGAAATCAGTAAGAAGGGATGGAAGCCAAACTAGGGAAGGAGCCTGCCACCCTTGAAGGAGTGGAAGGCATGGAAGAGTTTGCCAAGCTAAACATTGGGCAACAGTTAATTTGAAAAAATTGTGTTGGGCTGCTAGGAGCCCATACGAGCTGCTGCCTTTCCCCAGCTCAGCAGAGGAGGAACCAGCCTTCCTACTGGGGGTCTGAGAACCTGAGTCCATTCAGCAGAGGGAACACTGGCATTAGTCCACCTCCCTTTGAGAAAGTCAATGGTGGAGGAAACCGGAGGCTTTCCCTGTGGCATCTCTTTAAGATTCGAGTGTCATAAGTCGGGAAAGCAGAGGGGAACATCTGCAAGCCCGTTTCAAAGTTGATGCATGTGAAATAGTACGAAATTGTCCACCTAACAGAGCTTGGTCAGGCCGTATGACTGGTTAGCTTTTCCTAACAAATGGAGTCAGTGATGAAACCCAGAGAAGAACTCTGGGGCTTCCCTGGTGGCGCAGTGGTAGAGAGTCCGCCTGCTGATGCAGGGGACGTGGGTTCGTGCCCCGGTCCGGGAAGATCCCACATGCCGCGGAGTGGCTGGGCCCGTGAGCCATGGCCGCTGAGCCTGCGCGTCCGGAGCCTGTACTCCGCAACGGGAGAGGCCCCGGCAGTGAGAGGCCCGCGTACCGCAAAAAAAAAAAAAAAAAAAAAAAAACCCTCTGTCTTCCTTGGCTAGTCTGTTCTGTGTCTTCTCTAAAGCACGCCAGTGGTTTGACATCATCTTGAAGACAACCTTTATTTTTCAGGTATCATTAACGACGGGATCCGTATCAAGAAAAGTTCTTTCTTCTATGCCCAGTACTGCTGCCTTCTAGGTGAAAAAAGATACCACAGGTTAGTACCTGTCATTTAGGTCACAGCCTGATCCGTATGAGGACCGTTCGTACTTTGAACCTAACTGGCTTTTCGGCTGTTGTGCCGTTCATCCTTCTTAAGGATGGAAGTACACACATCACATGACCATGCCTCTGACACGGGCCACATCGTTGGCCAGAGAAATGCACATCGCGTTCACTTCCTCGGATACTGTTCATTTTCATCCTCATCTCAGTGGCCAAAGCCGTTTTGCACAAAGTCTTTGTCCTTCTCCATCCCTCTGTCAAATATGACAGAATGAGCCACTTCCTGCGCGAAACTTCCTCTAGCGCTCAGGACTCTGCGTCATCCAGTTCCTTCCCCAGAATGAGCCCTTCTTGGTCTCCTTACCTCTTCCCGCCGCCCCCAGGGCATGCATCTCCCTGAGATCCAACCGTTCGTAATCCATGATGCTCTTCCCCCACTTTGACCCCAAGACACCTCATCCCTTTCTGTCTTCCACCTGCCTCTCCGTCCATGGATGACTCCTTCTAAATCACTTGTGCTTCTCATCTCTCCCACCTCCTAGGCTTTTCTGTCTGGCTGCCTACTGGACATTTCCATCCAGAAGACCCACTGGTATCTCACACTGAGGATGCAGAAATTTAACTTCATCCTCTCCCTCCAATCACTTCTGCCTCTTGACGTCCCTATTTCCATCTGCGATCCCAATAGATACAACCTGTGCAGGGCGTCACCCGAAAGCCATCCTTGACTCCCTCGGGTCACAAGTCCTGTTAATTCTTCCCTTTCGGGTCTCCTGACCACTCTTTATGGTTACTGATGTTTCCTTGAAGCCCTGGTCATCTCATAATAATCAGGATTATTTCCGTGGATCCCACGTGACCTCCCTCTCTTCAGCCTCACCTCTCTGTAAACACAGCCGTGAGTAAAGCAACTACACTCTGGTAAAAATTAATTTAAAAAATTAAATTAAAAGTATAATAATAAATAAATAAATGGAAGGAGTAAGAAAATAATGGATAATCTTGATTTGGCAAAACTTAAAACTTCTTTATCTTAAATAATTAAAGGGAAATTCCATGTGTCTGTGGGCCACATTCTTTGATATAATTTAACAAATATAATACTTAATAGCAAAATATTCATGTTAATTCATATGAAGGCCGAGAACCCAGCAGCACCAAAACCAAAAAGAGATATTTAAAAAAGAGAAATATGAATTCTGAAACATATCAAGAAACCTTAATACCTTAAGGAATTCTATGAAAACTGTCTTTGTAACACTACTCATTAATATAAATACAAACCCCTAAATTTCAAAAGAAGTAAATAAATAAATACACACAACTGTGAGACTAACCTCCCCACCATTCTGCATTTTCTTTGTCTCTTTCTTGCTCAGAAACACTCAGGAGCTTGCTCTACCTCCTGCGTGAAGCCTACGCACCCCCCTTTCCCAGACTGGTGTCCGCCCCCCAGATCCTTCCTACTGCACTTTATCCGACCCTGTTGCCAGTTTCTCCCCCATATAAACTGCCGGTTTCAGCCATACTCACTTTTCTCTGAAAATGTCAAATGCGGTTCTGTCTTTGCTCCTATCATCCTTTCCTTGCATGATGTCATTCCTTCTTCTCTCTGTCTCAGTGGACCTTCCTGAATCCTGTCCCTTCCCTGGGACATACCTCAGGGACCACCTGCTCCAGGGAACCGTCCTTAGCAGCCCCAGCTCTAGGGAAGACCCCCTCCTCCAGTGCCCCACGCCGCTCACTGGCTGTCGACCCAGCCAGCGTTGCCTCTTAATTCATACGTTGTTCATGGAGCCTTCATGTGGCATAAATAGAGGACCACATGTCCAAGTAGCCAGGGTCAATTTTACCTTTATTTCTAGCCCAGCATAATGATTAAGAGGGCCCCTTTTACTCTCCAAAGGGTTCTGGTGTGGACAAGAAACTGTAACGAATTATATGATCACCTTTTGTATAAGGTACCCTGTGTTGTAAGGCAGCGGCCAATCGGGAGCCATGGGGAACCACCGGTATGGGTAAGACGTGGACCCGTCTCTCTGATGGCTTCATAGAGGAACTAAATGTACATTTCGCTTGATAGCAAGTATAACGTGATGGGTGTCGGAAGTGTACACAAGGTCCCGCGAGAACTCAGAGATGGAGAGCGCACGTCTTGGGCCGGGGATCAGAGGGGCCCGGGAGAGAGGCGTGCTTTGAACGAAGCTGTGAAGGACAGAGCGTTGACGGGTGGAGAGGGAGGCGGGAGGGAGAGGATGTCCAGGCTTAGGGAGGGAGGTGAGCATACACAGAGGTCGGCAGAGGCTCCCTGCCGTGCAGGGTGCGGAGATAGGGTGGAGCAACAGCCTGGGGAAGGCACTTGAATTCGATTCTGGGGGCGGGGAGTCTGTAAGCCTTTGGAGTCGTCCTCTGGGAAACAGGGTGGCGTCATCATGGGAACCTCTGCAAGGCCGGGAACCTCTGCAAGGCCAGGAACCATGGAGCTTGTTTTATCCCCAACATTGCCTAGAAACACAGTGTTGGCCCTGAAAAGGCTGTTGAAGAATGAAAAGCTTGGAATTAAGGTTTAAAGAGACTAGACTGGAAGGAGAGAGTGACAGCGGCCAGGAAATGGTCCTCAGTCGTCGTGATGAGCGCCTGGACCAAAAAGGAGGCAGAGCTGCAGGACCCTTTGGAGGCAGGGTCTTTGGATGGTTGAGCCTGTGTCCACAGACGGTGGCAGGGATGACTCAACCTCGAGTCGAGTCTTTATTACCTGCTTCCCACCAGCTCCCCTCTTACATCTCTTATTCAGCCCTTAGTCACAAAGATGGAAAACTGAGAGCAGCAAAAATAGAGAAGTTAGGGAAGGGAGCCAGAAGGATGAGAGATGTGTTTCAGTCATAGTCGGACCTTTCCTTGCGCAAAGGGGATCTGTCACTTGCTGATGTGTGTGTGTCTTTGTTTGCCCAGAGCACCCAGCAGGTGGTGTGGAGAGCCCTGCCCGTGCCCCCCCCCCACACACACACAAGGAAAACAACCAACAGGGCAAGAACTGTGCAGGGGTGAGAGGCCATCAGTGTCCTGAGGCCTCTGCATTGATGTCACAGAGAAGGGGGCTGGAACTGGTCTTTGTGGGGAAAAAATAGGCTTTACCCTCATCGAGGAAGAGGAGGAGGGCTTCACGGGACAAAGGTCAGAACAAGGATGACATGGGCTTATTCTGGAGATCAGCCCAGCAGCAGGTGCTTTTAATGTCCTGCGCTCCTCACGTGTCTGATAATAGATAAACTCTAAAGTCTTGGCCAATTAAGAGATTTTTTTTAAAGCATTAAGGTTTTTTTTTAAATTTAATTTTATTTATTTTTTTATACAGCAGGTCCTTATTAGTCATCAGTTTTATACATATCAGTGTCTACACGTCAATCCCAATCCCCCAATTCATCCCACCACCACCACCACCCCGCCACTTTCCTTGGTGTCCATACGTTTGTTCTCTACATCTGTGTCTCAATTTCTGCCCTGCAAACCGGTTCATCTGTACCATTTTTCTAGGTTCCACATATATGCATTAATATACAATATTTGTTTTTCTCTTTCTGACTTACTTCACTCTGTGTGACAGTCTCTAGGTCCATCCACGTCTCTACAAATGACCCAATTTCGTTGTATATATGTACCACGTCTTCTTTATCCATCCGTCTGTCCGTGGGCATTTAGGTTGCTTCCGTGACCTGGCTGTTGTAAATAGAGCTGCAGTGAACATTGGGGTGCATGTGTCTTTTACAGTTACGGTTTTCTCTGGATTTATGCCCAGTGGTGGGATTGCTGGGTCATATGGTAGTTCTATCTTTAGTTTTTTAAGGAACCTCCATGCTGTTCTCCATAGTGGCTGTATCAATTTACATTCCCACCAACAGTGCAAGAGGGTTCCCTTTTCTCCACACCCTCTCCAGCATTTATTGTTTCTAGATTTTTTGATGATGGCCATTCTGACTGGTGTGAGGAGATACCTCATTGTAGTTTTGATTTGCAGTTCTCTAATAATTAGTGATGTTGAGCATCTTTTCATGTGTTTTTTGGTCATCTGTATATCTTCTTTGGAGAAATGTCTGTTTAGGTCTTCGGCCCATTTTTGGATTGGGTTGTTTGTTTTTTTGATATTGAGCTGCATGAGCTGCTTGTAAATTTTGGAGATGAATCCTTTGTCAGTTGCTTCATTTGCAAATATTTTCTCCCATTCTGAGGGTTGTCTTTTCATCTTGTTTATGGTTTCCTTTGCTGTGCAAAAGCTTTGAAGTTTCATTAGGTCCCATTTGTTTATTTTTGTTTTTATTTCCATTACTCTAGGAGGTGGGACAAAAATTTTAGATCTTGCTGTGATTTATGTCAGAGTGTTCTTCCTATGTTTTTCTCTAAGAGTTTTATAGTGTCCGGTCTTACATTTAGGTCTCTAATCCATTTTGAGTTTATTTTTGTGTATGGTGTTCGGGAGTGTTCTAATCTCATTCTTTTACACGTAGCTGTCCAGTTTTCCCAGCACCACTTATTGAAGAGACTGTCTTTTCTCCATTGTATATCCTTGCCTCCTTTGTCATAAATGAGTTGACCATAGGTGCGTGGGTTTATCTCTGGGCTTTCTGTCCTGTTCCATTGATCTATATTTCTGTTTTTGTGCCAGTACCATATTGTCTTGATTACTGTAGCTTAAAAAGCATTAAGGTTTAAGGGTAAGTTTCTTACCGACACCATGTTTTAAGAAATACAACATGTATATTTTGAAGGCAGAATATAATAAATCTTAATACTGCTGTTAATCTATGAACTATGCTGGTGAAACTGTTTTCTATTTTATTATATGACATCTTTTACATTAGGACCTGTGTGACCTTTTAAAAATTAGGTCTGAAAATAAAAACTTCATCTCTCTGCTTTCCAGGTAATGAAAACTATATCTCTCATCCATTCATTTATCTGTTCATTCAACAAATATTTAAGTTCCTACACTAAGTC